ATCAGAAGATTTGGTGTTGTAATGATTTTGTACTTTATGATACTAATAGGTAATCTAGTTCTTTTGATTCCTTTAATTCTGCACTCAATTATCAGCAGTGTGATTCTGTAAGACTTCATTCTAAACTTCGAATCTGAATCCGCCGTGAATACTAGTATACACTAGCGCTACACTTGCGAGTTGAACTAAATTGACAGCATCATTTTGAAAGATAAAGTATGAAATGACGTTAAAAGTGGCATTCAAAAATTTAATTTACCCGTCACTTCGACGCTCACTTCGCACTCGAACACGATTCAAAATCAAACAAATTTTATAGAATCGACGTGCTGTTCAGATTTTAAGCAAAAATTCTGCCTATTTAATAGCAAGATCTTAAAATGCGAAACAAATTACTTGAGTTCAAAAAAATGTTGATTCCATGAACTGAAACATTTTAACAAAAGAAAGAGTGTAGTAAGGGGAAAACGTAATTAAAAATTGCCTCACGGGTTTAACACAACGTTAGTGCATTAAGCACTCATAAAAACGTATTCCTCGTACTGAATTCCCGGGGGTAATATTTCAATCGCGTGACAGCGAAAGTGGAAAAGTTGTATTGCAATTAGCAATTCTAAATATGCACTGGCTTCCAGCCTACTTTTTGTAAGTAGATAGTAACAACATGTAAAGGAATATTTTATGGGACATTCATGAGTATAAAAAAAACATTTCCTGAAAGACCTTTAAGAAGAAGTACACGCTACTTGTTTTCTACGTTTGTCTGTGGTCATGTCATGAAGTTTTTCAAGATTCTTGTAAATGTTTAATTCTTGAATACGGCAAAATACTTACTGTTGTAGCTAGAATGTAATTAACCTCATTACACAGAAAAGCAAGACTGTTTGGGTAAATAAAAGACAATTTTGACGTATCTGTTATGAACATGACTCTGTAAACAAGGGTGGTTTCAAAAGGAGGCTAAATGTAAGAACTGGATATTTTTTTATGTAATAGGTCGGCAAACGGGCAGACGGATTACCTGATGGTAAGCAATCAGCGCCGCCCATGGACACCCACAACGGAGGAGTTACGAGTGCGTTGCCGACCTTTTAAGGATTAGGGATTTGGAAATTTAAGAACTGGGGAGGGATTGGGAAGGGGAAGGATTGGGCCTCCGGTAACCTCACTCACACGGCGAAACACAACACTGTGGTTGTTTCACGCCGGTTTTCTGTGAGGCCGTGGTATCACTCCGGTCGAGCCGACCCATTCGTGCCCGAAGCATGGCTCTCCCACACTTAAATATGGATATTCCACATAAATTTGTGGATTGTTAAAAAATATAAAAAAACTAGCAGACCCAGCCACGCGTTGCTGTAGCTAAGGTAAATAATATTGTAACTATAAATTGAGGTGTAAGCTATCCTATCTTTCAAGTTGGATCAAAATGTACACGGAATGAAAATCAAATTTAAAATCGGTTTAATAGTTTAGGAGTCCATCGCGGACAAACACGTGACACGATTTTTTTATATATAAAGAGAAGAGAAGATATGACTTCAATTACAAAATGGCAACAGAAAGTCCTCGTAGGTTGGTTACTTTTTAGGTTTTCACAAGAATACCTCCTGTCCCAATTTTCAGATACAGGAAATTTTGGCCCTATCTACTTTCGAAGCAAACTGTCACTAAAAACATGTTCAACGTAAAAATCGTCGTATTTTATACGGGGTCCTATAAAGAAACCGTATGTCTCAGCGCATTTAGAACGGTTGGCAACCCTAAACATAGCATATTGACCTAAATGCTGTCTGGGGTTGGGGCAACGAGCTAAATTTACAAGAAGCTCCGCCGAAGTGTCAGACTATCGCCCAGTTTGCAACTTTAGGCCACTCGGATACCCCCACACTGAGAATTTCTCGCTGATATTATAGTTTACTGTTATGTAAACAGTTGTGTTTCGAATATATATATATACGAGTATATGCACCTTGTAGATCTTTGTGTATTAAGGCTGAGAAGATCAAGTTTAAGATATAATTAACGTTACCTATAATTTAAGTAAAATTTTATTTGATCAACACACATTATAAGTACAAGTGTATAAACAGAAAAAGTTCTAAATTACAGTCCTAGCGATAAAAACATAATAGTGGCCTATTTACCTCAGTAATAGAAACCTAATTCAGACCAATTTCCACATCGCGCTTGAGCCATAATTTTCAGATATAATTTTTTCTTTCAACCCCTGTAAAGAGCTCAGTAAAAGTTTTTTAGTTTTTTTTTACTTTGAGCTCAGCTCGAAGCAAACTTCAGCCAACCGGTGCGCACAAATTACTGACCTTCCGTGTGTAAAACATTTAGTTCATAAAATGAGGATAATCATATTCATGGCAGATGGGCCGTGATGACGTGACCTGGGCATCGCGTTACCCTTTTTTTTCTTTCCTTCTTCGTGCACTGCAGTTGCAAATAAAAAGGTAATTTTCTCCGAAGCCGTGGATTTTTTCCTTTTACTTTTCTGTAGTTTGGAAACGACTTAGCGGAAAAAGTTTACCGTAGCCTAAAAATTTTCCAATTTGACTCATCACTTTATTATTTAGGTGTTTGCATATAAGGCTTGAATGGAGGCTATGTGACTAACAAAGTACAAACAGTCAATACAATTTTTGTGTCGCGCCCTAATTTCTTTAACACTGCAAAAGTAGGGTAATGTGCTGTTGTGTGTTTTGGCAGAAGCCAGAAAACCCGAATAAAAATATTTCACGCAGTCTTGGAAATTGATAGTATCCTTGATATGTCACATGAAAAAGAAAGTTTTCTTCTAAATATTTCTTAAATATAAATTAAATCCAGAAAACAGTTATTGGTATTTTGTACATTGCAATGACGCTCATAAACTTTGATAGCTTCCTCGAAAAAATGTTTAAAAGAAATAATATTGTTCCTCTGAATACTGCGAAAAATATTTTGTTGAGTGTGTACATAAAATCGAATCATATGATATATTTATTATTCGCAATGATACAAAATCAAGTGATGAAGCAAAGTGAAAAAAATATATAAACATATAAAAAATGAATAAAAAATGAACAACGAAAGGTCCGTTGCTTTCGAGAAGTACTCCTACATGGCTAAGAGCCGTCCGACCGAATGCAGAGACTAACCATTGGTACATTCCAATTTGAACTTAAAAACTTACTGTTTAAGTTTAAATTCGTACATGAACATTTTCCAAAATTGTACAAAGTAAAATTCACGAATACTGTATTTCATATTCGGACATGGTCTCGGTCCTTCGTCATATTTCAGGGGTTTGATCCCAATACGCTTCTGGCTTTCTTGTTTTTTCAAATAAACACCTGTCATAATTTCTTCGACCCAGATTTTAGACTTAAGTTCGTCGCAATTCGACGCTAACGATGCAACGTAAAATGTCAAGGTTGCGGTATGAAAATGTTTTTAATAAGTAAATTAAATTGTCTTATTAATTTCACTTTGCAGTTATTACATTTTTCTGTGTAACAAAAGAAAAAACACGTATTAAAAACAAGTCAAACAACATCGGTTTCTTGATCCAATAGTAAGCTTGAAATAATTATTTTTTCCTTAATTATAGTATAAATATCTGTTATAAATGACTTCAACCCTGTAATTACCAAAACAATACGTTAACAGTATTTCCCGACGGCCATACAAAACGTGACATGCTACATGAAAGTGTCTACGTCATGATACGATAAACACTTACACGATCACGTCACTACAAAAAGCCGGTTGTTCGGTAGCAAAATCCGATTCGTCATAAAAGTATAATAATAGTGGGTCGGGGGTGCCGCAACAACGGCGGTGACCTACCCAGCGCGCGCCGCCGCGGCAGTCTTCTGTCGAGCTTTCTAATGACCCCAGGCGTTCTGTGTTGCGCGTTAAGGCACATTCAAGCCCAATAGAACCGATAAAAACTTGAACTGGATTGAAATTCAGCTTGTTTCACGCGTGGTGAACGTTACTACGGCGGAGACAGGCGCACTTCGGCCCTCGCCCCTCGGACGAGGACAGGACGCGAAAATGGACTCTATGTCCTCCAGGATAACACTGTTTTGTAATTAACCGCGAGTTGTGTGTGTCAGCGCAAGGAAAATCTAGTTGGGTGAGTATACAAATATTTCATCAAAACTTTTATGAAAACTATAGTTAGTTATCAATAGAACAATACGTGTAACAAATTGTCCAATGTTTTTGTTTAAATGTTTTGGGGCTAACAATGAATTTCATTTTATACAGTTTTCAATGTTATTTGTATTTAATTTTATGCTTGAAAAACCTCTTTGTTTGTCCTGTTTTTGATAGATAGTCGTCTTTCGTTGCGAATTTACTTGAATTTGAGTGTTACAGTTGTATTAATATTTATCAACCGTTTTGTTTTTTACGCTGGACATTTCGTACGCTTTCTGTGACTAGCCATTGGTATCAATTTATTTACACACGACATAGTTATGTGGTTGTACAACCGAATAATACAGTTGAGTACATTTGTGTGTGAGATTCGAGTAAGTACGTATTCCGAGCGAAATACTAAAAGCGCTGCCATAATCTTCAGACAGTAGTGTAAGCTGAGCATTACAGCAATATCTACTGTTCCTATTTACTGAATCGAACAATATCTACACTGAACCTGTGGTCTCGAGTAATTTCATTGGCGTAATCTACTTAAGCACTGCATGTAGGTGTACAATTGCTAAGATACAAGGATTTCCAATCTACCTTAGCTAGGTGCGGGAACTATAATTCCCAATAAGTAATTCATAATGGTATTTACAGGCAACAATGTACGTTAATCATGTTACTGTATAGTTGAGCTTTCCCAAGCCGGCGGAGCGTTCTGATTACACAGCATGAGTCTTTGATCTATTCATTACGTTGAGTAAACAATATAATGGACACATAATTGATATTGTGCGCTATTGAGTCATTGTCTGTGACGCGGACATGACAACCTTTATGTTTGTTACAGGTAAAATAACAAGGAGACGTAAAATGTAAAAAATAAAAACATTATAATGTAACTATGAAAAAAGTTTTATTCTTCAAGACAAAGAAAAATGAGTGCGACGTTTTGCAAATTGTTTCGTTACTGCTGGTTCTACCCCCCATTTTGCGAGCTCAGAATACCGTGGGCTGTCCCGACTTAATAAAAACTAACAAATGTTCTTGTTACACATTTGAAGACGGTAAGATTTCTGGCTGTTTGTGAATCGTTTGCTACGTGAACGTTTTATTAATGACGGATTTATTTTCAGGCTTGTTTCTTGATTGTCAGGATACGGCTTCAAAAGACATAAAAAATGCTCTTAAAAGTGTGTCTGACATACACTCACTTTCCGTTTACGACCTCGACGACAACGAAGAAGCTCTGGGACCCCATTTTATACCTCAAGGCGTTTGTATAAAGCATATTCATATGTCAAGAACAAGCATAAAAGACATTGGAGATGATACGTTTATGCCGTTGAGAAAGTGCCTTGAAACGTTAAGCGTCGTATCGAGCAAAATCAAAATAATTCCCCAGAAAGCTTTATCCGGCATGCTGAAACTGATATCGATCGACATGACGTCTAATTATATCGAAGACATACCGAGCTACAGCTTTTATGGTCTTCCACTTATGAAACTAAACATAAAAGGAAATGTTATACGCGACATATCGGAATCTGCATTCTCAAGTCTCGAACAAACACTCTTGGAAATCGATTTGAGTGAAAACAATCTCACAACGTTTCCCATAGAAGCTTTTGCAAAATTAAGGCACCTTCGATCTCTACGACTAGCTTGGAACGAAATGTCATCATTCCCCGTAGTGGAAAATTCTGATTTGATATCACTAGAGTACCTAGATTTAAGTTCCAATAATTTTGAATTTATTTCAGAAGACTGTCTTAAATTTTGTCCGTCCCTGGTAACATTATCATTCCATTTTAATTTCATCAACAGCATTCATTACAGAGCATTCTATTCATTGAATAATTTAAAATCTCTTGATTTAAGTCACAATAGAATAAAAATACTGAATCCCAATCTATTTCAGAACAACAAATATATAGAATACATAGATTTAAGTCACAATCACTTGCACCACATCCACGGGTTATTTTGTAACTTGCCATCGCTCACAGAAGTAATATTAAGTCATAATAATATTTTGGATGTGCCAATAGACTCGTTTATTAATTCAAAGAAAATTAATGCTATACATTTGGATAAGAATTGTATAAACAACATTCATAGTGAGAGCTTTAGTAATTTAGAGAACCTTGGTAAGCTTAGTCTAGAATTTAATTATTTGAATCAAGTGCCACATAATATTTTTATAAATAATAAGAATATATTAAAATTAAGACTAGACAATAACATTTTTTCAGAATTTAATAATGACACATTAGGACCCTTAGTAAACATTAATGAAATAAGATTAAATAACAACAAGATTAAAGTCGTTACGAAAAATTATTTTGTAAATTCTATTAAACTAGAAAAAGTTTACTTGGACCACAACGAGATTACTTTCATAGAACCCGGTACTTTTTTAGAAATGACTGAATTAAAATATCTCAGTCTACATTATAATTATATCATAGTTTTAAATGACGTTTTGCCAAAATTTAGTTCAAGTTTAGTTACGTTACATTTAGAGTCTAATTCGCTATCTCTTATAGGCAACTTTATGTTGCAGTCACAGGAAAAACTGAATTACTTGAGCTTAAAAAATAATCGCTTGAAGTTTTTGACTAAGAACACTTTTCGTAATTTAAGTCTCGTTACGAGAATCGAATTAAATAATAATGACATCTCTGTCATAGAGGACTTCTCCTTACAGCACTTAAGCTCTGCACGATACCTAGATCTACAGTATAATTTACTCAGTAACGTTACAAATTACACGTTTTTTGGTTTAACTGAAGTTGAAGATTTAGACATCTCTCACAATTCAATTAGCTTCATTTTCGAAATGGCGTTTGACACTTTGAAAAAACTACGTAGTTTGAATCTTTCATTTAATCCGCTGAAGACGCTTCAAAAAAATATATTTCAGCAAGGCTTACCGTTAAGCTCACTATATTTGGATAATTGTGAAATTCAGTTTATAGAAAATGGCACTTTCTTTGGTTTGAATAATTTAAAATTACTTTCACTTAAAAATAATTCCCTGAAAGCTAGAGATTTATTGTCGGTTAATATTCCCGGGCTTAAATACTTAACTTTATCTTTTAACGTTCTTGACTATCTCCCAGTAGAGACATTTACTCAGCTCCCACTTTTAGAAGTTCTCTATATGGAACACTGCAACGTTGAACATATTTTTGAGGGCACATTCAAACATAATAGAAATTTGTTGAGACTGAACTTAGCACAGAATATTATCAGTACAATTCCTTCTATATTATTTGAGGTACATAACTCAGTTATGGAGTTCAATATAAGCAATAACTTTTTGGATTTTGTGCCATATAACACGTTTGAAAACTTCACTAACGTTGAGAGCCTAGATCTTGCAGATAACCTTATACCAAAAATTGAGCTTTGTGGTTTTGAAAAATTAACAAAACTAAAATATTTGGTTTTAAGAAAAAATGAAATCAAAGCTTTAACTATGAGCAAAAAAACTGAGTATCCTTACTTAACACTTTTTGACATCAGCTATAACAAATTAGACCACCTTCCGCATTTTATTTTCGACATATTTCCAAACATACAAAATATTAATATCTCTTACAATGAGATTGTGCAATATGATTTTCTGTTGACATACAAGAAGTTTGGCCTATCACTAATCAATATTGACATTAGTAAGAACCCCGAAGTGTCTTGGTCCTTGGCTAGCAGAGTAAACAACAACACACTTATAGCAAACCTGTACGAATTACACATATGTGCCACTAACATGACGAACATAGACGACATCACATTCGAACTATTTACCAGTTTACAGCATCTTTATCTCAAATTCAATAAAATAAGACGTCTTTCTGTTAGCCCATTTTCCAAATTAACTTTTTTAGAAAGTTTAGACATAAGTTATAATAGGATTTCTCAACTGAAAACCAGCAATTTCCGTGGACTAACTAAGTTGAGAACATTGTGTTTATCAAATAATAACATCGAATCAATAGAATCCTTCGCCGAAGAGTTGAGTAATTTGAAACTTTTGGATCTTTCTCACAACAAGTTGCAAAACATTCTTAATGAAGATCTTATAAACTTAAAAGAGTTAACAGTATTGCATTTGAGCTACAACAACATCAAATATATTTCGGTAACAGCATTCAAGAACTTGAATAAAATAATACAAATTGACTTGGAACACAATAAACTACAGACCATTCCTATAGAATTATTAACTTCTGTTGAAAATTATATACAAGATATTTCGATAAAAGGTTTGTATTTTACTATACGGACACGTGATTATTTTAGTGTTTGACAAGTTAAACAAATATTGCTATTCTTACAGATAATGTTATCCTATGCAGCTGCCAAAAAGATAATGCTTGGGTGTGGATCCAAGATCATCCTAAAGTTATAAAATCTAATTTAGTTACTTGCCATAACAATGAATATCCGAAGGAAAAATGCGACGTTCCAGTGATATCTCAGCTCTCCGTAGATAGACATAAGGACAATTCTGTATCAGTTTCGTGGTTCATTAGGAACCGCACTGCTATCAAAGCGTTACAAATTCTGTATTACGGTGAAGATGGCCACACAGATGTAAGCTCCAAAATTGATTTAAGACATAATGTATAAAAAAATAATTTTGTTGTCTGTATACATTATGATGAATTATTTAACGCAATACGTTTTCTTGCAGGTAAAGTCAAAATACTTAGAAAAGAGTGAAGTGTCAGTTCATATTAAGGACCTAGAGCCAAATGTAAATTATGTGGTGTGCGTCATCGCGTTATCCGAAGAACCAGTTGACTACGAGGAAGAGATAATAATGGCTGAAGTTAATAAAACAATTGACGACAATGCCAACTCTACTGTTAGAATCACGCAAGATGTAGCAGCAGCGATACTAATGCGATCTCCTTCAAGCGAATGCGTTTCATTTAATACATTTAGGAAGCCGGCAACCGTAAAAGCTAAAGCGAATAAAAAATTCCAAATATCGTCAATTTTAAATCGCCGAATGGGCTTAATAGTCGGGTGCTCGTTAGGGTTCGTTGTGTTTTTTATCATGGTTTCCGTTTTGCTGTACACAAAAATAAAAGAAAGGAAAAGAATTGCCAAATCCGACCCAGCGTGGTCGGAGATGAACGATTACCATTCAATGGCGAGTAAAGATGATATTTTACAAAGTTCCACTACAGCTTCCACAGACAACATTCTGTTGGGTATGGCAAAAAATCGTAAACAGTCTTTAGATCATTTGAACTAAACATAGATTCTAGACATATGTAGGTAGGAAGTATACCTTTGTGAACAATAAATTCTAAATTCGAAATAATTAGAAAAATATTTATACCTACATTATTAATAGTTGCTTAATTTTACGACTGTTCGCTTATGATAGCTAGATACTTAGAGGTAGTACGTAGTGCCTACATAGTAGGAAAATTGTACCTTATAACATTGGGTAGGTAGATTAGTTATAGAAACTTAACTATGAAATAAAACTGTTGGCATGGTTATCAGTTATTCTAAGAGTTTTATTTTGTACTTAAATATTGAAGAACCAAAACTGAGAGATGCATAAAAGTTAAATAAGTAAGTATGAGTAAATTAATAAATGTTTTGAAAAGATAATAAGAAGGAATTCAGCCGTTTCTCGAGCTCGAGCTCCCGTTTGGAAGTGTAAAATGAGTTAATAAAAGTTCTCTAAAAAGTATTTTTTGTGTATTTAGAAAACTTTCTACTTCTTTTAACAGTGTCTCGATTATCAAGAGCCATTGAGGGAAGTAAGACCGTCTTTGAAGTACTTACATTACAGGAGGTGGCCTTACAAAATCAAATTAATTTAAATGAGCTTTTGTTGAAGGAGATAGAAGAATATTTTACCGAGCAAACATTGTCTTTGGGAACACTTAAATTCCAGAGCTCATTATAAACCAGCATTTTCATATACCCTGGATACTATAGGAGGACACTTTTGTTGAATTTTCTTTGAGACTTTCGGCGTATAATCCACTTCTACATACGTCTGTCGTAACTAAAGCTTTGCTGAACATTATTCATGGATATTTATTGTCCTCGTTTGCACGGCTGTTTTGTTGAATAACAGTGTGAATATTAACAAAATATTGTGTTCCATTTTTCGTTTCAAGGTAATATTTAAACACGACTTGATACACGTCATCTTTGATGGCATATTTTTGTACTGTTGCCCAGTTGTGCTATTAGTTTTTTCGAGAAAATGGCGTCAAACAGGCCATTGTCATTGTAACACATGTATTATACTTATATAATATTTTAATTTGTTATTGTATATTATTTAACTTTTTTATTTTTTAATTGTTTTCAACAAGATCTTATAACTTTGTCAATTTAACTTTGAGAATTGGAGAATCGGTCTTTTCTTTGATGTTTTGATATGAAAACTGTTGACTACTTTACAATAAGCACAAGTGCATTACAGAACCAGATTCAAGATATTTTTTTTTTGATTTTGAATGACCATGCCATTCATGTTTGTTCATCTTATCGCAATAAACTCGTAACCCGCTGGACCGATTTTTATACAGTTTTCACCAGTGGACAGGGGAATTTTCCATCAAAGATTAAGTGCGTGTTTATTATTACCGTGAGCTAAACTATGAGACGAAACCAAAATGAAATTAGGAAGCTCCTGAACTAATTTTAATCTCGCATACCGTTTCTAATGGTTCAAAATTGTGCACGTCACTTAGGATGATTGTTGTCCTAATTGTGTAGTAAGTGATTGGCCCGAGAGAAATGATCTAATGTTCGCACACAATATTGACGGCGTGTCCTCTACACTAGGAGCGCTATCTCGGGAATTGTCTGATCATTAACAACTCTAATTAAATAAAACAGTGTTTTTATTAACATTAGTACGTATATACTTTCAAATAAATTATAATGAAAATGACATATTAAAATATTTAAATTTTTTAGATTGACAATTGTCTGTTGAAGCATAATTTATAAAATTGGTAGTAAAATAAGGCAAGGAGTATAAACAGCTGTCCTTCAATACGCTATGATCGTGAACAACCTTTGAGAAACTAAAACATTTGAAAGAAAAATATATGGGACTTAGTAGTTCTGTAGTACAAACTTTTGGGAATTCTAATACAAAGTTCATCAAGCTGCTATCCACCTAAAAACAAGCAACGTACTATCATATTCTTATATGACAATGATAACATACATTTAAATAATGATGTAGCCAATTACTCAGTAATATTAAAAGAGTCCAATTTTCGTTTTATATAACCGAAGTGTATAATTATTTTAAAAGGCCTGAGTTAAACTTTTTGTTTTCAATATTATAATATAAAGATGTCGTGCAAATTCTGGCTGTTCGATTTCATAATTTCCGATGACAACATGGGGTATGAAATTGACTCTGGTATTAAGGGACACCCCATGGGACTAATAAAAAAAACTGGAGAGGAGACAGATGATTGTGTTAATGTGCACCTATATTAAGCCGACAGACTTTTTGTGATATGTATGTATATATTGGAATCAATTCAGTTCTAGTGATTAATAATGCAATGTATAATTGAATTGAAGTCCAAGTTTCGGAGCTTTAATCATTGCATTGTTGAGGCCGCCTCTGAGTTCACGGTAACTTGCAAACCACCTGATCAATGCAGAAGTTCTATTAATTTTGAGGCGACAAGCTCTTTGACGCTCAAAGACAAAGGTATTGTGACGTATTGTACCATCTTATTATGGATTCCCTAATCAAGTGTAAGGTTGGTCCCACCTTGCAAATTACTTTGACATTAGTTCGACAAATTCGAATAGGTGTAAACTAATCAAGCAACAATCAGCCAAAAGCACACCGTAAAGTTACTTGAATTTACAACTCTACACACGTGAATAAAAGAATGTTATTTGAATGTTATCTACGTAATTTATTTGGTTCCTGTAAAATAAATTGTTGTGAATAATAATATGAATGAATGTATGAATATAATACTCGTGCTACCGTAATGAACTATGAACATAATTAAAATATGTAGGCAAAGGCTGTAGCCAAATTACATCAGTTTGTTTCCTTTTTTGGACACTCAAACGAGGAAGGAAATAGATTAATCCGGTATATATTTTCCTAAACCTCTTTATGCTTAGGCCGAAATTATGAATATGGCACAGAAAATTAGAAAAGAAAAGTAAATGAACCGGGATTTGCGTGCTGCGGTTGTAATCTTGATAAAATGGTAAGGCCGTTTAATGCGTGAAATATATTTCGAATGAACTCACAAACATTTAATGAACTGCGGGACCCGCGGAAGATATCCTTTATACTGGTTCACAAAACCCTTAGTATTTTAATATTTCCCGAGTTTTCCTTGATTTATGCTTACGTTGTTACATAATATTAAGAGAAACGTGACCTTGCAAAGTTTAAAACGACAATATTATTATTGCGGCACATAATAGTTCTGTACTCCGGTAAATTAGGGTCCAACATCATATTTATAATAACGACTACGTAATCAAGGCAATGTTATGCGCAGACACAAAATATAAGTTTATTTATTCACTCGGTGAAAATACCAAAATCGTACATGAAATATTCATAAGGATTTAATTCGCCTACTAAAATGAAATCCGCCGAGATTACTTGTCAGATCTCTACATCACGTCGGTATTATTGTATTATCAAGTTATATTGGTTGTGCACAAATTAATGCTGAAGATGTTTTCCAAATCACGTTCCAAGAATTCCCTTTTATTTACAATTCTCCATTCAGCGAGTCCGCAACGAATATGAACAATCGAACAATCGATTTATAATCAATATCTCCATCAGCCATAAAGAAAATTGGAAAAATCTGGGGACGCTCTTTCATTCTATATTTACATTTTAAAGACTTTTTCTGTCCTTTCTTATTTCTTCCAAAGCCAGTGGCCCTTGTACTAATTAAAATAACGTCTTCAAGTTCAATTAGTCAGCTATCATTGTACATATATTGGTATAGTGGTCCTTGATTATTGGTAGTACATATTTAATTTCATTTAGTTTCAACTACATAATAATTGAATTGAAATAAGTAAAGTCTTACTACTTAGTAATAAAACAATATTTTATAGAAAGTATAGAAGGAAACAAGTGACATGGTCGTTAAAAATATAAAAGTGAAACAGCGTATTTTGCTCTGACTGAAGCTTAAATATAAGTACGAAGTTGGAGTAAAATAATTTCTTTTTATTCCATTTTAAGTACAACGATCGTTGCGTGTTAGTAGTGCGTTATGAAACTATACTTGACCCGTTTTTGTAACCTCTCGAGGCAACCTCCACGCTGGCTGTTTTGATGTCTAATTATAATTCGAGGTAAACTTTTCATGTTTATTTAAACACTGGTACCTTTGCCTTTATATAAAGCCTTTATACAATTATATTTTACGTAGCTTTATAACTTTAATTACTTACCTTCTCGAAATCAGTGCTGCTACCGTACCTGGGTATTGTCTCAAATTATTACTCCTACATTTCAGTAGACCTTTATTATTTAGTAATTTTCAGTTCTCATTGTATTATTGTACCTACCTACATAATACTAACTACTAATCCATTCTAGAAGAAATATTACTTGTTTTGAGGGATCAACAATAATGAATAAAGGCATGTTAAATATTCTTTTCCCATTTTAAAATATTTTATAATTTCATACCTTTTTCAGGCAACCAAACAATCAACGGAAAAACCGGGCAAAAATACAGCAAACGAGATCCGCTCAAAACACAATAAATTATCTCAATTCGAAAGGCATACTTTACAGTCCTATTCAGCAAAATCTCCCTTGAGTAATGTGGGTCGAACCCATTTCCGCAAATAAATCCAGCTCTCAAAATAAATAACTACTTTACCCCGTCTCTAGTTCGTACAAACGATCTTTGTAATACATTTATACATCATGTATAATGGCATTGTTGATAATTTGGGGAGTCCAGGCAATTTAATTGTGTCGAATTATAACTATATTAATAGACACAAATGTAATATTATTGAGTAAGATTTAGATAGAGATTAAAGGATTGAGCTTTAGTTCTTAGTAGAAGGAACTGCGTCTTAGGTCAATTATTAGATGATATTGAGTTCCATTCCCAATTAGCCGAAAGGAACTGGAAAACCGCCTCCTCCTTCTGGGCGGAAAACAAGGAGGCGATGCGTATGTGGGAACTGTTCTTCGCACGCCTCCGGCCGTTGCAGGTGCCATCCCTCGACGGTCTCCGATCA